ATCAATGTTCATGTTGAACCTCAACGAATGCATAGTTTACAGATGGAGCTTCTCCAGAAAATTCGAAGGCACATCCTGGGGCTCAACTCTGCTTCGGTCTTCCTTGGCGGCGATTGGAACTTCCTGGAATCTGGCGAGCATCGTGTATCTCTGATTTCGGACGAAGCTCCATGGATCAACGCTGCTTCTAGGCTAGGCGGTTTATTTGATCGACTTTGTCCGCAATTTGCTGAAGTTGAGCAAGGTGGTTATACTCATGGGTGCGTAGTCCAGGAAGCTGTTGTAAGCGTCGGGCGTCTGGATAGGTCTTATACTAATCTACCCAGTTCCGTTCTCTTGGATTTGTCGCCCTGAAGCTTCGCTGTCGGTGAAGCTCATGATCGTCGCGAGCCGTCGGATCACGTCCCTGTCGCCCTTCAGTTCTCGCCCAACAAATCCAGCCTTCGCAAGCTCCCCAAGTGGGTTTTCCAGCATCTGGAATTCGAACAGCATCTGAACGAGGTGGCTCTGGAGGCAGGGCTCTCGGAGGACCCTCGGGAACGTATCCTGGAGCGCAAGGAATGCATGCATGCGGTGAAGGACAGGCTTCTCAGGAGGATTGTTCGTAACGGCCCTGTCGCCGACCGACAGAAGGCAGCCATGCGTTTGAAGTTTATGCGGGCGACTCAGAATGATAACCAAGCGTTGGCTGGGAGATGTCTCCAGTCCCTGCCTGTGCTGCAGCAGTTCTATGGCGAGGAGGTCGGGTGCTTCTCCGATTATTCGGCGTTTCGCAAATATTTGCAAGGCGTGTGTTGTGATATCTTATACGCTGAGATCAGCGACTTCTTTGCCGAGAACCCCGATGCCTCGCGCGCTGACCCGCGTCCATCTCAGCTCCACGATCTTCTCGGGCTATGGTCGCCCAAACGTCGTCGTCTCACCCTGTGTCATGTACCTGATCCTGGAGGTGGTGCGTCTGGGCCTCTGGCTAACAGTGCTTGCAATCTGGCGAAACACTGGGGTGAGGTCCACGCCAAACGTGCCCGTTGTCCGAAATGTGACGAGGTCAAGCACTGGCTGTTCCAGGAGGTTCAACAGGTCTCGCCTGGGATCCAGTGGAGGCTCATGTATCACGAGTTCGTTGGCATTCTCACCGCCAGGAAGGAAACTGCCCCAGGTTCCGACGGCATTGGATATGCCGCGTGGAAGGCGGGCGGCGAGCTCTGTCACCAGTGCCTGCTCTCCCTCTATTCCGACCTTTTGGACTGTAAGGAGATGAAGGAGGGGTGCACCAATACTTTTACGGTCTTCCATGCCGAAAGAGGGCGGGGGTGGCGATCAATGTCGCGGCTTCGAGCTCTCTCGTGCTCCAGAAGCCACTCGTCCTATCTCTCTTTCCAATTGCGACAACAAGGTGTTGGCTGCTGCCCTTGCCGACCCGCTCGCTGTCCAGGCTCAGTGCTCCGTCCCTCCCACCCAGAAGGGTTTTGTCAAAAAAACGCAACATGCTCGACCATCTCTGGGAAATGGAGTCCCAACTGGTAGATTTCTTTTCATTTCAAAACTGTCAGCGAGCAGGGCTCTTCCTGCTCGACATTGCTGCTGCGTTCCCGTCGTTCGACCACGACTGGATATTCGTCGGCGCACAGGAACCCGCCACCAACACCAAGAAGCCACTAGAAAAGAAAACATTGCAGCCTCTTGCAGCCTCTGTTGAATGCCGTCGCCCGTGTCTTCGGGTTCGCGTGTCCAGAGTTGATGAATGCCAGCTCTGAGCGCGTGGGGACATAACGGGCCGTCTCCAGTTCCCCAAGTGAGCGTTAGGATTTGCATGGGCCGCGCGAGTCCCGCGGGCCGTGCGAACCCAGCCAGCCCCATGAACCCCACAAGTTCCACAAAGGGCTTCATGGGCCGAACGTGCGCCGCAGCGCGCATAAGCCCAACGCGCAGCGCTGGCCCAGCATGCCGCGCGGGCACCATTGGCTCCCTGACTCGTCAGGGCCACATCTGGTTTCTGAGCCTTGGAAACCCCGCGGGCCATGGGAGCCCCGTGGGCCTCAGGGGCGCCATGAGCTGCATGGGGCGTTTCCCTATCATGGAAGCACCGTGGCTTGCAAAGTCGGCGAGCAATGCGAGCCATCTCAAGCTTTCTTGGCTTCGTTGGGTCGCTCAGCCCCCACAGGGAAAGCGCTCCGAACTTTTCCAGTGACGTCTTGGTGCTGGTGCCGGCTTTTTGTTCCCTGCAACATCAAAAAGCCGACACCAGCACCACGACCCCCACTGGAACGGCGGCCCCATGTGCGAGCTGAACCCCTCGACGATTTCGGAAGGTTGCCACGGGCTGCGGGCTTGGGTCAAGAGGGGGCCACGGTCTTATGCCCAGGCCGCGACGGGCGGCCACCGCCCCCTTTCGCAGAGAGCGGCGGATTCGAACTCGTCGGGCCTTGGTGTCGGGCCAGACGAGGGTCAGGGATGCGACGCGGGCGGACATAGGGTGGGTGAGGACTGGGGGGAATGAGAGGGGGGCGGGCGGGCGGGGGCAGGCGTGGTGGAGGGCGGCGGTGGGGGGAGTAAAGCTTCAGCCATGGGGGATGCCGCAGCCTTCCCTCTTCTCTCCCTCTTCTCCCGAGAGCGCCCGCTAGTTTCGCTTCTCGCTTGCACTTGTTATTTCCTGCTTTACCTCCTGCGTGCTGCGCGACGTCTCCCTTCCCCCGTCCTCCTCGCCCACTCTGCGATTCCTCGGGCCAGGGCGGGCTCGCGCTGGTCCAAAACGCAATTCGACATTTCGTGAAACAAATGCTTTCTTGGTGCTGGTGTCGGCTTTTTGTTCTCCCAATTCGACTGCTTGTCGAAGCTAGGTGTGCCGAATTTTATTTTTTGCCATCAGCGAGTTATACATATATATAAATGTGGTCACAGAGATCATTCTCCGAGGACAAAATTTTGACGGCTTCCAGATCCTCCGCGGGGCGAAACAAGGCCGTCCGCTCAGCGGTGTTATTTTCGCATTATGTTTCGACCCTCTGGTTCGGCATCTTGAAAAAGCTCTGAGACCACATCCAGGCAGGCCGTTCGCGCTCGCTGACATTGGTGTTCTCTCTAAGGATATGCTGGCGTCTCCCCCGACTGTCGCGCGCCTCATGATGAAGGCGGCCTGGGCCACTGGCCTCCTGATTAACCCGAAGAAGTGCGCCATCGTTTTCCCCGCCGGCCTCGAGAAGGCCGCGATCATCGCCATGTTTCAAAGAGTTGGGATCAATGTGTCGTTATTCAAAGTGGAATCTTCGGCCAGGTACCTGGGGGCGTTCGTGGGGCCTGGCGGCCCCGAGCGTAGCTGGATTGGGCCCCTGCGGAAGCTCAAAAGTCGTCTCCAGTACATTCGTGGTCTTGCCCTAGCTCTTACCCAAAGTATATGCGCCTATAACGCGTTCGGTTTTCCGTTGCTCAGCTTTCCCGCGCAATTTCTGCCAGCGCCAGCGGTTGTTCTCCGCGCTGAGCGCGATGCTCATCAATTTCTGACTGCGGGCCCAAGGTGGGCGGTACCATCTGTCGCGCGGGCGCGCGCGGATGAGATCGGGCTGCCTGTCCAGTTCCGCTCGGTCACCCTAGAAAACCAAGCTGCAATGCATCGTGCGTGTCTTCGGTCTGAAGCCTTCCCTCGCATATGCGATCGCTGGCGCGAGCTCCGTGATGATGAAGTTGATCGTCTTGCTGTTCCTCGGAGGGCCGGCTGGGTTCGTGAGACCATTACAGAGTCCCTGTGTAACCTGTTCGAACGTTTCCAGGCTATTCCTCTCCTCCCCTCCGATCCCGACATGACCCTGCTCCAGAAGTGTACCCACAAGGCGCTCAAACATCAAGAATCTCTGAGTCGGGCCCCTGTGGTAGGTGCTTTAATCCCTAGGCTTAGGAAGTTTTGGCCAGATATTCAAGAGTGGCATTCTGACCGAGTTGTCCGTTATTTAAAAGTCGCTGGAAACATCCCCCCCTTCGTGTGTGCCGCCTATTCGAGATCTGTTTGCAACGGCTGGTGTACCTCTGCCCGATTCAACCAAGGTCGCCAGGTATGCCGTGTCGGATGTAACGCGATGGGAGGCGACCACGTCTTGCACTATTTGTCATGGCCGCTGCTGCTTTCCTAGCTGCCCCGTCCCCTTCCTGCTCTTCCCGAAGATTATTGCGCCTGGTCGCCCGAAGATAGATTGTTGCTTTGCCTTCGGCCGTCCCTGGAGGGTGTCGCTCTCGGCTCAGCGCTTCTCGTGCATGACCTTGCAATCTCAGCGTTCAATTTTCTCCGTGCCCACAAGAGATGGGGACTGGGTGCTCTCTCCACCCTCCTTTCTGCAAGAGCACGTGCCACTGCGAAGAAGAGGAAGGCGGTGCGTGCCCTTTTCAACCCACAGGACCACTAAGGGCGAGTGGATCGTCATCATTCTCATCCTCATCATCGTCGTCGCCGTCGTCGCAGTCAACATCACCACCATCACGAGGAAGAGGACGACGGCGAGAAAACACTACGATCTGGCACGCACGCAGGTTCAAGCATCGCACGAGTGAGGTTCAACATTGAGTTATTTGCCCGCTATCTGCGCGATCCCGCTTCTCCCCCCGCCAAAGGTCGGGGCACAGACCATGACGTGAACATGGGAGTCTGGAGGCCCGCGCGGACCCCTCGGATCGGCGCGCGGGCCTCCTCGCGGCGCCCCCGACGCCGCCTCCTGCCGCGCCTCCGCGCGCCAGGGAAGGGGGGGGGGGGCCCAGCGCCCTCATCCGAGAGCTGCGCGCGGACCTCCGACTCCGTATGCCCGTGCCGTCGTTTGTTCCCCCCATGGAGGAACTCGAGCTCTGACCTTCCAGGAGGGCCAAACAATAGCACGCGACTTAAAAACTTATCCCAGAGCTATTCTACGTCTTGGTTTTAGGCTGTTTCGTTTAGTTTTTTAAGTTTTTAGGTCTCCAGTGCTGAAAATAGCTCTCTGGAAGGTCAGGGCATGCCGTCGCCTGCCCCCCCCATGGAGGAACCCGAGCTCTGCGTGCAGGCTGGAGCAGGTCCCGCGGGCCGGCCCAAGCGTGCACGCGCACGCGCGGCCGCAAGGCACGCCCCTTGCACGGAGGGGGGCGCCCGCCCCGCCCCCTGGAGAGAGGCAGCGGGCCCCCCCGGGGGGAGAGGGGCTCCGGCGTTGCCGCTGCCGTCTTCGGGCTCCCGGGGCCCGTCGGGGGCCATTGGCTGATCCACCCCAAGGGTAGCGCAGGTTGGCCTCCCCCGTACATAAGGGAAAGAGGATGACCCCCTCCTCCTCCTCCTCCTCCTCCTCCTCCTCCTCCTCCTCCTCCTCCTCCTCCTCCTCCTCCTCCTCCTCCTCCTCCTCCTCCTCCCCCACGGGACATCCCCCCCTTGCCTTAAGTCGGGCTTGTCCTTGCACAGGGGGAATATTCAAAAATAAGTATCAGAATAGGCGGGGGGTCATTTTTCTGGAATTTTTTGGTGTACATTTTGGTAGTGTTCTTGGAAAACGAGCGTGGGCCCCGAATTGTCGACCCCATCGCGGGGTTCCTTACTCCGCTTGCTCCTTTTGCTGGTGCTGCTGTTTCTCCTGCTTCTCCTGTGTGTACTCCCTCGGTTGACGCCGTTCCGCGCGCCCCAAAGCCGCGTGGTGTTCACGGGCGCCGTGGTGCGCGCAGTGTCCGTGACGCGCACGCCCGCTATGGCGCACGCAGGTCTTGTGCCGAAAAACACATACTCACAATCAACTCGGCGACTGCATTCTGGACGCTTCGCGTATCCACGCCAGCCCATCCAGAAACGGTGTCCAAGCGAGTTGCGGTGAGCCGGGAAGTGCGGGAGCAAAGAGGGAGATGGCCGAACCGCGCGAAAGAGGGAGGAGGAGGCTGGATGGATGGATGCGGGAATGGGGAGAAGGAGGATGAATAGGATGTGGAGGAACAGGAGGAGAGGAGGAAGAGGAGGAGGAGGAGGAGGAGGGAGAGAAGAGAAGGGGTAGGAGGTGGAAGGAGGAGCAGGAGGAGGAGGGAAATCAAAAGGGCCAGAGGTCTATTCGATGCCTCTCGGAGCCTCTTGGGATATATTTAAGGCGTTTCTTGGTGGCCTCTTGGAGCGTCTTCGGGGTCTCTTGGCGGTGCTGGGGGGCTCTTGGGCGTCTTGGGTGCTTCGAAATGGCCTCTTGGGGCAGCTTGGGGTCATCTTGGGAGCGTCCTAGGGGGCCTCCTGGGGGCTTTTTGGGGCCATCTTGGGGCCATGTTGGGGCCTGTTGGGGTTTCCCGGGGGGTTTTTTGGAGTCATTTTGACTTTAAGGGTAGCTCTTTGGGAGATGTTACAGTATCGGGAGCATAACTCGCGCGCCGCTGCCTTGGGCTCAAGGCACGCGCGCCCTATTTGCCCGGACACCGCGAGTGTTCGCTATGTGCTGGAAAGATCATTACATCGATCTTATCCTATCTTACCCATCCACCCCTCATACTGTACCTTCACAGCAGAGCGATGGATGCAATCTGCCAGGCTATATGCCCTATTTGAGTTACCAGGCTCACTTTCGACTTGGTAGCGGAGCTGGCCGCACTCGTGTGGTCAGCTCTTGCTCTTCTCAGCCTCACATTCTTCGACACGATCTTCGTGACCACCTACTACCCTGCGCCACCACTCCCAGTACATTTACGAGGATCTATTCAAGAGCAAGAAGCTACACGAGAGGTACGACGTCTAGACGACCAAATTGGTACCATATACGCTTCATCATTGCGTTACTATCAACCGCTCGGCAACGAGCCAATAACGCAATACCTGAAGCAAGGGCGGGGAAACCCGCCAGACAGAGCGCCTCGAAGACTCGACAAGGCGCTACCCCAGCGCGACACCGCTCATCATAACCGTCCTTCGTTACACATTCTCGGGCTAATCGTTTTCGCTATCATATGGTTCGCGCTGGGGGCAGCAATCGCACACATGCGTCGGGGAGATAACAGCACCGATGGGCAAACACATGGCCCATATTGGGACCCTCAGGGTAATGTACCTTTTCGTGAGTACATTTACGAGGTCAACGCGTGGCTCAACGTTACAAGCGGACGTATGACGCCACAGGCCCAAGCGGCCGCAATACAACGCGGCCTGGGAGGCCTAGCGAGGACACTCGCCATGAGGGTACCGCCTGACATTATAAACTATGGTGCTGGCATTGATGGGGTCCACACAGACCCAGTAACTTACATCATGTTCCTCCTCAGCATGAAGTTCGAACGCCTGGAAGATGAGCGACAGCTCACTTCCGGCACACAACTCATCGACTTCCATGTGCCTCACGGGGAACGAATCGATGTCACCCTTACCCGATTCGAAATGGCCCGACTTGAGGCACAGTCGGTGGGATTCGACCTTCCTAACTTCCAACTGCTAACCACTATCCTATTCCGCGCCTTAGGCGTCGGCAACCAGAAAGCCATGCAACTCTTACAGCCACTCAACCACCAAATGCCTCGAACACAACAACGATATGATGAGCTGCTGGAAAGGATGCGTTCGGTAGGTCACCTATCCGAACGATCCCCTGGCAACATAGGATCCGTGTTTGGAAGAGGAAGGGGATCTGGTAGTGGAAATTTCTACACTACCTTGACTACTGAAGCCCAGCCTGGAAACGGGCCCTCAAACATATGGGCCGATGACCCAGGAGAATCCACTGCTTTATTAGCAGGGGATCGATCACAACCAAGCTGGGCAACCAGCCCTCCTTCTAGAGAACCACAACCACACCGCTCGTTATGGGGGGAATCAAATCCCCTAACCGACGGTGTATCCACCTATTTAGGAGACGAAGATTTCGACTCCGGCACCGATACAGACACTATATCATCAGATGGTGTTGAAGCTCTAGATTGGTCAGATATCATGAATATGGATAACGACAATCAGCGTGCTGAGCATTTATTCTGGCTGTTACAACAGGCTAAACGAAGGTGGAGGAGGTTCACACGAAAACCAGTGCGTCGTGTTAGAAGGAGGATACGCAGAAGTTTTAAAGGAAAGGGTAAAGGCAAGCGTGGTCGTCGGAGGTTGAACGGGCGAGGTATCGCGGCATTTCTCCAGAGGCTCTCAGATGAACAACATGATGAGATATTCTTTGGGGGAAAAGGCCGCGGTAAAGGCCGCAGAGAGACCTCAGGTAAAGGTAAAGGTAGGCGGGGAAACCCGCGAGGTAGTGACGGCCAGGTTCTCAAATGTCATGAGTATGGTAGTACCGATCATATTGTGCGAGATTGTCCAGCGAAGGGAAATGGAAAGGGCATGTCGTCCGAAGTCCATTTCGGCTCAAGCACACCATCCATTGAGTATCTGAGCCTCCAGGACTTTGAGGCTATGGAACAGATATTTTTCACATGGGTCGTTGGCATGGACAACATTGACGAGCTCGAGGGGTATGGTCATGGATTATACGCGTATTACCTCGAGTACGTCCGCCGGTTCGTCACGGGCAGTAATGAACTCACTCCCGTGGAACACGGTACGCTCGGAAACGAGCCTCTTTCCTTCTTCGACTGGATGTTCGGGAACCCAGGCAACATCATGGCCTACGAGAGCGACGACGAGGACACCACTATAGAGGCTTCGCCTTCCGAGGTTCGACGGAACCTCGAACCTCCGCCCGAAATCCCGCCTGGAAACAGGCCTTCTTTGATGGGGGAATATCCCCAGACCACTGAAGACTTAATTGAAATGGAGTCTCAGGCATTTGTTCAGGCCTTCATTGCAGGCGAACCAGATATTCCGTTCATACCTCCTGGTTCGCTTGCTCCAGGCGAATATGGACCACGTACCCTTTTGCAGACTCTCATGAGGATGCATGGGATACTTACAATTGGTCATCCTGAGAGTCAAGAACACATCGAAGCTGGCATCATGACCCAACAGGATAATGATGCTTGCGGTAGCTCAGAGCTACTCTTGGCAGCTTTGACTCTCATTGACAGTATAAATCCTCAGGAAGTGCAGCGGCACTTGATATACTCCCATGGTAGATGGCGTCGCGCCCTGGAAATGGCAATGGCTATGCGTGGTCATGATCTTCCCCCGCCAGGATGGAATCTCCAGGAGCTGGGGATGAGGCCAAACCATACGGCCATGCGTAACATTGCTAGGCAGCCTATGCTCGTCGATGACCCTGAGCCGACGACTGTGCCTCCTACTCCAGGACAGCCGAGCGACGCCCAGACGCCGGCCATGCAGGGAAACCTGCCTTTACCAGATGCGCCAATGGCCATCATAATTGGTAGTTCGACATCAGAAGAAGTAGAAGGCGATGGTTGTGGGTTAGATGAGGATGACGTCACCATCCTCATGATGGACGTGACTGGTGAGGAAGAGGTCGATTTCGACCCTGATGAGTCTGAATCATCATCACCATCGGCACAAGAGCCACTTGCGCCGAGCTCCACCCAGCAGGGAGACCTGCCTCCATCGAGCGATCCACCTGGGATCGCAGAGGAGCCTCCTCAAGCACCTCCAACGGGTGCCGCTCCTGCTGCATCGGCAGCTTCTTCTGATGAGAACACCAGAAGATCTCGTTCTCATACGCGCGTCAGAGAAGAGCCACATCCCCAGGCTCGACTCCCCCGTGAGTGGAGACAGGCTGGCCCAAAGGAACACGCTCTTAGAAGAGGTGGCCAGCTACTTCCGCACAACGACCCACGACGCCGAAAAGGGGAACACTCGGCCTTTGGCCAGGGCAATCCTGCCTATAGGGACGGCGATGGCAGGCCCATCCGTGGAGGCTATCAGCTTGCAACAAACATCCGCCGCCCTGAAATTCAAGAAGCGCGGGCCCAGCTGCGAGATATTATCGCGGCTCGCAAGCAGTATAGGCCCCACGCTGCATGTGGTCCTTGTTCCCAGCCGTTCCAGAATCACAGGCCAGGATGCCCCGTTGGAAACAACGAAGGCCTGAGCCCCAACAGGGGCAAAACCCCTCCTAAAGAGGGCCATCCGCCACTTGACCCGATGACACCGGAAGAGATCGCAGCAGTGAATAGTCGTCTCG